TGAATCGGTCAGTTAGTGTGTCAGTGAATCAGTCAGTGTGTCAGTCAGTCAGTGTGTTAGTAAATTGGTCAGTCAGTGAATCGGTCAGTCAGTGTGTCAGTGAATCAGTCAGTGTGTCAATGAATCAGCCAGTCAGTGTGTCAGTGAATCAGTCAGTCAGTGTGTCAGTGAATCAGTCACTATGTCAGTGAATCAGCTAGTCAGTGAATCAGTCAGTCAGTCAGTGTGTCAGTGAATCAGTTAGTGTGTCAATGAATCAGCCAGTCAGTGTGTCAGTGAATCAGTCAGTCAGTGTGTCAGTGAATCAGTCACTATGCCAGTGAATCAGCTAGTCAGTGAATCAGTCAGTGTGTCAGTGAATCAGCCAGTCAGTGTGTCAGTAATTCAGTCAGTGTGTCAGTGAATCGGTCAGTTAGTATGTCAGTGAATCAGCCAGTGAGTGTGTCAGTGAATCAGTCAGTGTGTCAGTGAATCAGTCAGTCAAATAAATAAAAAGTGCATTATTTGTCAAGCTTGTCAAATCGTAGCTTCCCGAAAACCCTCAAAATTATTGGTACTGGTTTTCAATATGTTGTGCAGAATCATGCACGGATTTAGGGGGAGGCGTGCCACCCCATCCCACCCACTCAGCCAACAACATAAAAATTTGACAAACCAATTGACGAAGGTCTACTTTGGCCATGTGAATTGCTCATAACTTCTAAGATTCCAAACTCAGTTCAAAGGTGACATTAAACGTGTGCAAATTATGTATCGTTCTATGCACAAACCTGTAGTTGTTACTAATATGCATATGAAAACACTTTGTGGAGATAACATAATCTACATAGAGGCAGTTAGCATGACAGTGAATCAGTCAGTCAGTGTGTCAGTGAATCTGTCAGTCAGTATGTCAGTGAATCAGTCAGTGTGTCAGTGAATTAGTCAGTCAGTCAGTATGTCACTGAATCAGTCAGTGTGTCAGTGAATCAGTCAGTCAGTCAGTATGCCACTGAATCAGTCAGTATGTCACTGAATCAGTCAGTGTGTCAGTGAATTAGTCAGTCAGTCAGTATGTCACTGAATCAGTCAGTATGTCAGTGAATCAGTCAGTCAGTGTGTCAGTGAATCAGTCAGTCAGTGTGTCAGTGAATCAGTCAGTCAGTCAGTATGTCAGTGAATCAGTCAGTGTGTCAGTGAATCAGTCAGTCAGTGAATCGGTCAGTCAGTCAGTCAGTCAGTCAGTCAGTGTGTCAGTGAATCAGTCAGTCAGTGTGTCAGTGAATCGGTCAGTCAGTGTGTCAGTGAATCAGTCAGTCAGTCAGTATGTCAGTGAATCAGTCAGTGTGTCAGTGAATCAGTCAGTCAGTGAATCGGTCAGTCAGTCAGTCAGTCAGTCAGTCAGTGTGTCAGTGAATAAGTCAGTCAGTCAGTCAGTCAGTGTGTCAGTGAATAAGTCAGTCAGTCAGTGTGTCAGTGAATCAGTCAGTCAGTCAGTCAGTGTGTCAGTGAATAAGTCAGACAGTCAGTGTGTCAGTGAATCGGTCAGTCAGTGTGTCAGTGAATCAGTCAGTATGTCAGTCAGTGTGTCAGTCAGTGAATCAGTCAGTCAGTCAGTGAATCAGTCAGTCAGTCAGTCAGTCAGTGTGTCAGTGAATAAGTCAGTCAGTCAGTCAGTGTGTCAGTGAATCAGTCAGTCAGTCAGTCAGTGTGTCAGTGAATAAGTCAGTCAGTCAGTGTGTCAGTGAATCAGTCAGTCAGTGTGTCAGTGAATCAGTCAGTATGTCAGTCAGTGTGTCAGTCAGTCAGTGTGTCAGTGAATCGGTCAGTGAGTCAGTGTGTCAGTGAATCAGTCAGTGTGTCAGTGAATCAGTCAGTGTGTCAGTGAATTAGTCAGTGTGTCAGTGAATAAGTCAGTCAGTCAGTGTGTCAGTAAATCAGTCAGTCAGTCAGTCAGTGTGTCAGTGAATCGGTCAGTCAGTGTGTCAGTGAATCAGTCAGTTAGTATGTCAGTAAGTGTGTCAGTCAGTGTGTCAGTCAGTCAGTCAGTCAGTGAATCAGTCAGTCAGTCAGTCAGTCAGTCAGTGTGTCAGTGAATCAGTCAGTGAGTCAGTGTGTCAGTAATTCAGTCAGTGTGTCAGTGAATCAGTCAGTCAGTCAGTCAGTCAGTCAGTCAGTCAGTGTGTCAGTGAATAAGTCAGTGAGTCAGTGTGTCAGTGAATCAGTCAGTCAGTCAGTCAGTCAGTCAGTGTGTCAGTGAATAAGTCAGTCAGTCAGTGTGTCAGTGAATCGGTCAGTCAGTGTGCCAGTGAATCAGTCAGTATGTCAGTCAGTGTGTCAGTCAGTGAATCAGTCAGTCAGTCAGTCAGTCAGTCAGTGTGTCAGTGAATCGGTCAGTGAGTCAGTGTGTCAGTGAATCAGTCAGTGTGTCAGTGAATCAGTCAGTGTGTCAGTGAATTAGTCAGTGTGTCAGTGAATCAGTCAGTCAGTCAGTCAGTCAGTCAGTGTGTCAGTGAATAAGTCAGTCAGTCAGTGTGTCAGTGAATCAGTCAGTCAGTCAGTCAGTCAGTCAGTGTGTCAGTGAATAAGTCAGTCAGTCAGTGTGTCAGTGAATCGGTCAGTCAGTGTGTCAGTGAATCAGTCAGTTAGTATGTCAGTCAGTGTGTCAGTCAGTGAATCAGTCAGTCAGTCAGTCAGTGAATCAGTCAGTCAGTCAGTCAGTCAGTCAGTGTGTCAGTGAATCAGTCAGTCATAATCCTGACCTTCTTATCCAGATTAGGCACAGTAATGTTCTTCTTGGGTTCTCGTTTTTCAGGTGAACTGGTATTTATGTTTTCTTCCACCTTTATCTGATCACCATCAAAGTTGGTGTCTAATTGAGACTGTTGCCCCGTAACTCCAGTTTCTACCTTTTGTTGTTTCACGGCATTGGTTGCAATACCTAGATGAATTTTAATAAAATGAAAACAGACATCGTGATCTACACACAATAAACAGATTGCCAAACAAATGTCCAATGCAGCACAGTGGCCATGATGAAGAAATATTTAATGAACCATTTGGGTAGTGTATTGTCCTCTATTGTGTAAAACAATAAGATTCATTCACAAACATACTTTCTAACTTCATTCATCGTACTATAGTCATTGTACTATTATCAAATGAACTGATTGTGTTGTATGTTGTTCATATGCAATGCAATAATGTCGTACATTCTTCAATCAATCAATCAATCAATAGTTCTATTAATTATAATAAATACTGTAAAACATGTTGAAAAAGCGGCATGCAATTTTAGCGAATTGTGGTAAAATGACGTAATAGCAAAGTGTTGTTTTAATGAATCTCTCTTCTCATTGTTGATTTCTTTGTTTGGCGGCCATTTTGAATTTATAATGAAGTCATTAGCGACTTCGCTAAATTCGCGAAAAAGACACGTTTTACAGTATATACATACTTGTGGTTTGTTCTTTATCTTTCCATGCTGGTTTCTTGTCACCTCCTGTCTTCAACTCTATGTAATGGCGTTCAATGTCTTTGTGTGGAAACAATCGCGTAAATAATCTCTCAACTTCGACTCTTGTTGAAATGCCTACTTTTTCGTTCAATACACCGGGAATTGAATCGCAAAAAAATAGACAAAGATTCGTCAAATTTGCTAGTGAATCTGGTAAAGATGTCAACATGTTGGAATGTACAAACAAATGACGTAGCTTTGTTAACTCGCCAACAGAGTCTGGTAACTTTGTTAATTTATTGTTACTCAAATTCAATTCTTCCAAATTCGTCAAAATATTAATATTTTCGCTTAATGTATCAATGTCGTTATTCTTCAATAAGATTCGTTTTACATGTTGATATTCTGTGAAGACTTCGCGAGGTATTTCTTTCAAGCCACATCCTTCTCCGTCACAAGTCTGTCGGTCTTCAATCCACATCGGTTTATTCTCTCCTCCACTGGGATGTTTCAACTCTATGTAATGGCGTTCAATGTGTTTATGCGGGAATAAACTCGTAAATAATCTCTCAACATCGATTCTGTTTGAAATTTCTACTTTTTCGTTCAATAAACCCGGAATTGGATCGCAAAAAAATAGACATAGTTCGGTCAAATTTCCCAGTGAATCTGGTAACGATTTTAACATGTTAAAATGTACTAACAAATGGAAGCTTTGTTAACTCGCCAACTGCATCTGGTAGCATTGTTAACTTATTGTTACATAAATCTAGTACTTCCAAATTCGTACAAACACCAATATTTTCGCTTAATGTATCGATGTCATTATTCTTCACCTCGATTCGTTTTACATATTGGTATTCTGTGAAGATTTCATGAGGTATTTCTTTCAAGCCACATCCTTCGCCGTTACAGGTCTGTCGGTCTTCAACCCACATCGGTTTCTTCTCTCCTCCGCTGGGGTGTTTCAACTCTATGTAATGGCGTTCAATGTGTTTATGCGGGAATAATCGCGTAAATAATCGCTCAACTTCGACTCTTGTTGAAATGTCTACCTTTTCGTTCAATACACCGGGAATTGGATCGACAAAAAAATAGACAAAGATTCGTCAAATTTGCTAGTGAATCTGGTAAGGATTTTAACATGTTGGAATGTACAAACAAGTGACGTAGCTTTGACAACTCGCCAATAGAGTCTGGTAGTTGAGTTAACTTGTTGTTATATAAATTCAATTCTTCCAAATTCTCCCACACGTTAACACTGTTACTTAACTTATCAATGTCATTATTTTTTAGTAAGATTTGTTTAGCGTGTCGGTAAGTTGTAAAAAGTTCAATCGGTATTTCCTTCAGACCGCAATCATTGCCATTGTATACTTGTCTTTGTTCTTCCCACAATGCATCATTGTGTCCAGCCATGATAAATTTTGTGTTATTGAAGTATCCCTAAAAATAAACAAAAACGACATACATATCAAAATAAATGCGTTATCATCTCTTAGAAAGGTATAATTGATCTGCAAAAATTGGTGCACAACTTTTTTGAAGTTTTGGCAAAAATGTACAAAATATTATTGTAAAGGATGAAAAAAATTATGAATGTTCAACGTGACAAAACAGCATTATTCGAGTTTCAAACAACGTTATTTTGGGACAGTTTCTTACCATAACAAACATAACAAATGACAAAAAGGAATTCCAGTTTGTGAATAAGTAGACATTCTTTGCAAAACTGAGACAGTGGTAGCCACTTTGGATGCCTCTGTCTTTAAAGGGGTGGTCATTTTTTTTTCTCATAAAAAACAAATGTAGCATTTTCTTTACGGTTTCAATTGTATTCAATTTTATTCAATTCAAATTCGGCTGCCTCTGAAGGAGTACCCAACTTTTAATGTAAAGGTTTCTCTACGATTTCAATAAATAACTAAAAAAGTAAGTAGGCGAAAGTTGAGTAAATAAAAAGTTAAATACGTGTGACTGAGTGTATTCTTTTGTTTGTTATTTACTGTTACTCAAGTACATGTCATCATACTGTTAGCGTGCATCACCCACCGCCCCACAGCAATGTATATTCACGTTATATAGATTGAAGTTAGTGCATTTCTGGCTAAAAAATTGACGTTTTTGTCAAAATTGCCAAAATTTTGCGAAAAAGGACTGAAAATCGTAATATTGGAGGGTTAAAAAGATCGACTCGACCGTTAAAAATAGGGTCAAAACAGTGGCACATATCTGTATACTTTAACAACTCATGTGGGAGTACCGCTGGGAGTACCCCCAGGCCGCATTGCATTGTGGTTCATTGAAGCGCATGTAGTCAATTATAGGGGGTATGTTCGAGTATCTCAAAAGCGTATCTGCGGGTGAGTTTTGCGGGCACGCAGAAGCCATAACATTGATGTCTGCGTGTCGATGTGCGTGTAGGTTCTACATGCACATAGAAGCCCATTTGATCAAGTCTGCGTGTGCTAACGATTCTTTTATTTTAATACGATAAATGCAATCCGTTAACCTAACAATAACACTTGTTTTCAGCAAGAAGCAACACCCGTGTTCAAAGTTAACCGAGCCATTAGTTAATCTTTCTGTGGTGATCCTTTGGGTCACACAGTAATCATACCAACCAGCCACACAGCAATAACTCACTATTCATTCAGTCTAGTATCTAACACTTGACGTAACGAGGAACGGTTAAAATGTCTTCTATGCACAAGTTGTGAGGATATGACGTCACGTAAATGATCGAATGTAAGTAGATCACTACGGGGCGGCGATCACATTATAGAAATACCCCCACCCCTACATCACGAAAACGACATTACCTTTATCAGTGGAGCTAATATCAGAATTATGATGCAAATCGTTTACAGCCTTGTACTATAAATAGCTTACCTCTTAGTCACGAGGTCACCACAGATTACAAAAAGGCCGAATTTTCTATCTGGAGCGTCGAGTATGTTACAATTGGTGACGTCATTGAATCAGGAAAACTGTTAAGGAAAATATATCGTAACTACGCTACCAATTATAGCGTCCAATTATAATAAAAATGGCCGGCAATCGTAGCGATCTGGTCGTTATGACAACGTCGCAACATCGTCTCAGAGCTGTCTTACTAAGAATGTGTCTAAATTTCTATGCACCACATTGTAAAGTAAGCCAGTTTAACTTACTGTGACTGAGTAAAGTCCTCCGTCGACGAAATTCGGTACAATAACAAATTGGCTGTAATGATTGTCTTTCTACACTGCACACATACGCGCATGCGTACAA